ATCAGGCTGCCCAGGGAGGTGATGGCATCACCATCCCTGGAGGTGTTCAAGGAATGACTGGACATGGCACTCGGTGCTCTGGTCTAGTTTACCAGGTAGTGATGGGTCACAGGTTGGACTCCATGATCTTGAAGGCCTTTTCCAATCTAAATGATTCTGTGATATCCCACTTTCCCTTTTAGGATGTCCCTGAGAGGGCAGGTCTGGTTCCCTGTGGCCTTCTAGGAATGCACTGCAGGGGTTTGGTGTCCTTTTAGCTCCATGTTCCTAAGAGATCTGAAAGTCCCTGTGCTGCAAACACCCAGTGCCCAGCCTGGTGAGCTGCCCAGAGCTGTAGATCTGAGCTGTGCCTTCCCTCCTGCCCTCCGCGGCGGTGTCCCCCTGCCGCAACCCCGTCCAGGAGACCTACTTCCAGCAGCTGGGTGCTCCTCTCCGCAACTCGGGCGTGCCCAACCCACATGACAGTGCCTTCAGCCTGCCCAGCAAGGCCAAGCAGAAGCTGCTGAAGCACGGGGTGAACCTGCTGTGAGCTGGTGTGCTCAGACAGTGTGTCTCAGCCCCTCTGAATGGTCATCTCCAGTAAGGAACATCTCAGCTGTTTATTCCGTCCGAGGTACGAGGCTCTGTGCTGTCTCGGTGAGGTCTCCAGCCTGTCTGGCCCTGAGGAAGAGGCACTGGTTGACCTGTCCTGCAGCACGTTTTGGGCCACTGCAGGTGGTACTGATGTCAGCTCTTACCAAAGACCGAAGGCAGAAAACAGCAGTGTTTGGACACTGGGTTTACATGGACTCTGGGACGGTACTTGGTGCTCTGCACACTCCCCACGTGCCTTGACCTGAACTAAAACCTTCTTGCTCTGAGCTGCACAGACCCTGGGCGGTGCTGGCTTTCAGAGATGTCAGACACTGTGCCTGCCCTTGCCCTGGTCAGACTTGGGCTTTATTTATATCTCTTAATCCATAGGAATGATCCCTGCCATGACGTAGTGCTTTACCTTGATTAGCAGAACCCACTTGGAGCAGAACTCATAATCCTCCTTTGCCAAGAGGTTTTCATGCTCTAGGTGACTCTGGGAGGTCCAGAGGTGGCATGAGTGTGCCTTGACCTTCTGCTCCATCCTGCTGCAGGACCCTGTTTCACTGCTCTTGCTGCTCCCTTTGCCCACGCTCTGTTCACCCTGGAGCTTCCCCTGAAGCTGATGGCACCAAAGAGGTTTTGTAGCCCTCAGCAGCTGTTCCCTTCCTGCTCTGACAGTGTGTCCCCTCTCAGTGGTGGCTGGAGGGGTCAGTGGTGACAGTTGCTCAGGCCTGAGGGATGGATGCCTGTGGCTGGCTGGGCTGTGGGTTTGAAAACCTGCTGCTGGCACGTACACACACATCAGTGTGACCATGAAAATAAAGGAGTCCCTAAGACTCACATAAGCACTGTGTGTCAGCAGCCAGAGTCACGTTGGTTGTCATGTTTGTGGTTCCTGGTGTGAGGGTTCGGGTTAGGTCAGCCATTCCCATGGTTAGCTCCGTGCTGAGGGCAGGTCCTGCACTGCTGAGGTTGAACAGGCAGTGCCTGTTGACTCAATCATTCCTGCAAAGCAGCTGCTTGGAAGATTCCTGAAGGCAGATACATCACTGGTGTTACCAAGAGGTGGTGAGCAGAGACAGGGACGTGGTGGTGAGCAGGCTCATGGCAGCATCAGAGCTGGACTTGGTAAGGTCACCATTGCCACAGCTTGTGGTTCCACACCAGCACAGACAAGTCCCACGGTTGCTCTGCCATTGCTGCTCCACAGACCTCACTGGGAATTTCAGAGGATGAGCCAGCTGCTTACTCAGGGGTGGCTGGGCACGGATTGCCACACAGCTGCCAGCCCTGGCAGCTGGGTGTTTAAGCAGGAGCAGAGCTGTGTGTCACTGCTCCCATCCTGGGCGTGATGGCAGGGAAACTGCTCTGCATGGAAGGACTGTCAGGAGCCTGTTGGCAGTGTAGGAGTGAAAGCTCACTGGGAAGGCTGAACTGCAGCCACCCAGGTGACCTCCTGCCTCGGCGTGGAAGGTGGCACAAGGCAAGGTGCTGCTTCCCTATGTGACTTCCCTGTACTTCCACTGAGTGACAGATGAGCTGCTCTGATTCTGGAATGGAACACAGAGAGGTACTGCACGGATGGGAGAAGGCAGGAGGGAAGGGGTATGTGTGCTCCAGCCTCTTCCATGCCCTGGGCTCCCCTGCCAGGCTGAGCCAAGCAACTCCTCTGTTAGATGCTGCTCTGCTTGTCCCCTGTGTGCAGATCTGGGTTCCCTCTGTGATTCCCAGGAGGGGAGGAAGCCTCGGATTGCTGGGAGCATCAAGCAGGGCTGTGAGGCAGCACCAGCCTGCTCTGCTCCCCCGAGGGAGATCCGTCTGGCTCCTGCCTGGGCGTTTTGGGAAGTGCCTGTATGCTCTATCAGGAAACACGAAGAAGTTGAAGGAAAATCCTGAGAGGGACAGGAGGGAGTTTTGGCACAGCAGCAAAGCACGAAATAGATGGATGCTTTCGCCTGCTGTCGTCAGGGATCTTCCGCTGCAATCTGCTGTGCCGTCTGCCTGCAGGGGAACAGCTGGGGTGGCTGCGTTCCCTGGGCTGCATCTGGCCACCCAGACCTCGTCTGTCCCGTGCTGCTTCGGAGGGAAGTTGTGTGGGCAGCACGCAGAGAGCTCCTGGCCTCGGGGCAATGGTTGTGCTGTAGGGAGGATGTTTGAGAATTGGGCATTTCCAGTATAAGGGGATGAGGAGCAGCTGGGCCTGTCTGAGTGCTGCCAGCACAGTCAGGGGGGCTCATGGGGAGCAATTCCTGCCCTGCGAAACTGCTCTGTGCTCGGGAGGAGTCAGGCACTGGTTTTCCAGCAGTAGGGTGGGAATTGAGTTGCACTCTCCACCCGGGAGCTGCTCCCAGGGAGCTGTTGCCTTTGATGTGTCAGTGCAGACATCTGGAAGCACTTCCCGAAATGGTTTGTTTGCGGATGCTCTGGCAAGGCTGGTGGCTGCTGCAGGGCCAAGGGAGCTGCAGCTGCTGCTGGGCACAGTCACTAATGCCCTAGTGCTGCTGTAACCCATGGCTGTGGATGGGCTGCAGGACAGGCAGGGAGATGCTCCCTGTGCTCCTTGGCAGCCTGTGCTCTGCTGACATCACAATGGTTTGGGTTGGAAAGGACTCCAAATTCCCAGCTCCAAATCCTTCCACAGGCAGGATTCACCCACTAGAGCAGGTTGCTCAGGGCCCAATCCGATTTGGCCAAATTCAGGCCAGAGAGGCTGTGAGTGGTCAGGACAGAGATTCCTTGGGGCTGGGTATTTTAAAGCACTGCCCTCACTCACCGTATCACTGGCAAACAGACCCATGACCCTTTCCCACCCTGCAGCTCCTGCTCTTTTCCTCCCATTCCTCCCCACCAGCTGAGCTGCTGGGATCAGCAGGATGCAACCCCTCAGTGTTTACCCAACCCTGGCTCATTACAGCAGCAGGCTGAGCCCATTCTGTTTTCAGCACAACTGTTTATTGATAATCTTTGCTTATCCACTGTATGAATGTTACCGACTGTCGGCCAGAGCCAGCCTGTGTCCCCAGGGCCCGCGGCCAGGTAGCCAATGCGTGTAGAAATCATGCACTTCAGAGAGTCTGTAACAAGACGGGTGTAAAAAATACCTCAGATGTACTTGAAATCTCTGCCTTATCTTGCAATCCGATCACTGAAAAGTCTGTAAAGAAGTTGTAGGAGAACAGGGCTGTGTTCCCTCCCGGGCAGGGCACGGAGGTGAGCGGTCCTCAGCACTGAGGCCACCGAGCCTGGTGCAGCTGTGTCCCAACCAGGGCCCCTAGGACAGCAGAGAGCATCCGTGGCACAGCATCCACACTGTGCTTCAGGTGTAGGATGTCACAAACCAGCCCCCAAACCCCAAACAGACCCTGGGTGCTGGGTGACGTCAGGGAAAGCGTAGTAGTCGCTGGATGGACAGGACCCTGGGCTGGGGGGGCTCATTCCTTGGGCTGCAGAGTGAACTCCTCTGCCTTGGGAACCTTCCCTGCGGTGTTAGGTCCGTGTGAGCTGCCGCTGTGTGTGCTTGCCCTGGCTCGAGGAAAGAAGATGGAGCAGCAGAAGGAATGGTGACCTCCTTTCTTCCTACGGACAGACAAAACCCCCACTCTGCATTCCCAAACTGCGTCCCTGCCTGCAGGGAGTCCCCAGCTGGAGCTGTGAAAACTGAAGGTTGCAGACAGAGCAAGGAGGGGATTTGGGTGATTGATAACGCCCTCAGTCAGACTGAAGAGCAGGGCTGTGTGTGCTGTCCCTCGGCAGGGTGGATGTTGGGGTGCCTTGCTGGGCTGGAGGCACCTGCAGCTCGAGGGCAGTGGGGCTCTGCTCCCTGCCTGGGTAACAAAAGGGGGTTCTGAAGGCAGGAGGACTGGGGACCCCCAGCTGGCACCCAGGGGAGGAAGCAGGAACCCCTGGACTCATGATGGGCTCTTTGTGCACAGAGCCCACCCCAGCACCCCCAGCTAGAGCAGCTCCTGCCCGGGCTGTCCACTGTCCATCCATCTGGGACTGCAGCCAGGCAGGGCAGGCTGAGCACTGCGCTGGGCTGGTTGGCTGGTATGAGGGGTGTGTGTGTGTGTATGCTGTTCCTTTGATGACCACGAGAACTTTGACATTGTTACATCCAAACGAACACCCTTGGGTTTGTTACTCTACTTCTGAACACCGCAAAACACAGTAGCAACAGAACAGAACACGTAGGAGCGTGGGGCAGCAGCGAGCCACCGCGCGAGGCGCTGGAAAAGAATCCCTGAAGCCAACAATGGAGGAGAGAGATGGGCGCTGATACACGTCGCAGTTTCCATTTACAAGAGCCCCAGGAGGGAGGATTGAGGCCGTGTGCTGGGAAGAAGCTTCCAGCGTGGAGCTGTGGCACAGCCAAGAGGGCACGGCCACCCACAGCTGCCCTGAACCCACCAGGCCAGGCAGCGCTGTCATCGTCCCGGGGCGAAGATGAAGTCGAGGGCTTGGCGCTCGGCAGCAGCCACGTTGGGGTGCCACAGGTCCACCATGAAGACCACGCGAGGACCTTCCTCCGGAGCACCTGGGTGGGATGCAAGTGCAGGGTGAGGCTGGGGAGAAACCTGCACAGTGTGATCCCAGTAAACACCTGCTCACTGGGAACCCAGTGCCTCCAGCAGCTGCTGTGGGGCAGGGACCCCCACACCTTCTAGCTGCTTTGGGCACCTAGAAGTTTCCTGTGGCAGGGCTGAGGCAGGATGATGTGCTTGCTCTCCTTGCAGCTGCATCCTGGATCCATGCAAGGAGCTGCTGCTGCGCCATTCCATCCTTCCCGGCCCCGCGGCTCTGCGTGCAGCTGCGCTTCCCAATCCCACAGCAGGGTTGATGTGGAAGCAACAGCTTTTGTTCTCCCACTCTCTCCACACCCTCCCCTGCGTAGAACAGCTCTGCTTGATGCTTTGATGCCATCGGCAACTAATGCCGGTTAATCCTGGGGTGAGGAGCTGAAGCGGAACAGCCTCCGTCAGCGATGGAGGGAGGAACAATCCAGGCTGGTGTGAGCCTGTTCCTCTGCACGGGAGACAAAGGCGCTGCTGGCACGTCAGCACTGAGCTGCTCCTGCAACAGGGAGGCTGTGGCTGGCAGGGAAAGGGCTAGAGCATCACAACCTGGGCTGCCCTGCAGAGCCTGGGAATGAAGGAAGCCTTCCATGCTGCCTGCCACGGTGGGGAGAGGATCCCCAGGCAGGGAGAGGGTCCCTAGGCCCCACAAGCAAGTCAGGATGGGAGCAGGGCTGAGGGACTGCTAGCCAAGGGCAGCAGCAACCCAAGCCCCACGGGATGCAGGTGGTCCAGCCCTGCAGCTGCCGTGGCAGGAGGAAGGATGGGAGCAGTGTCCTGCCCACCTGCTCCTCCCCAGCCCCCAGCACCAGAGGGGACACCACGAGGCCCCACGAGTTGATCCCACGCTCACCTTCGTGGAACGCCGTGTGCAGGAAGGAGTCGTCGAAGAGCAGGCACCGACCCTCAGCCCAGCACTGGGGCTCACCCCCCACCACCAGCTCGCAGTTGCTGGGTGTCTTCAGACCTTCAGGCACAAAGAGAGAGGACAGGGAGGGTCAGGTGGTGGTGCTGAGCTCCCTGTGATGGTGTGTGTGGCACTGAGCTCCACGTGAGCTCCTCATGAGCTCCACGCTGTTTCCATCCAAGGAGTGAGCCAAACCCCAAGCCTGGTCCAGCTCAGTCCCTGCCCTGCTCCCTGCCCATTCCTCCCTGTCCTTTTGCTGTCCCCAGCGAGCTCAGCATTCACTTTTGTATCTGGAACAGCTTCCCAGAGCCCGTGGGTCCAGGGTGTGTGCAGAGACCCAGGCTCCTGGGATATTTTCCAGCTTCAGGACCAAAGGCAGATCCTGCCCGGTCCTTCCTCCAGCTCTGCTGTGCTGACCCTGCCCCAGACAAGGCTGGGGAAGCAGGAATTGCTGCGCTGGGACTGGGGAACAAACTCAGTTCTGCCTCTGCCACATGCTCCCCATGGACTTCACATCACTCAGCACCCATCCTGTCCCTCGATCCCCACCCAAGGTGCTGCCACAGGGTGACCCACCAGGCTGCAAGGACAGAAATTCAGGAGGGTCACAAAACCCTTGTAGGGAAGTGGCTTACTGTGGGGGCCACGTGAAGAAGGACAATCCTAGAAATAAAATAGGTCTTTCCTAAAACACTAATGCAGGTCAGGCCAGTTTGACAAGGGCTGATCCCATCACCTCCTGCATCAGAACTGTCACCCCCTGCAGCACTGGGGACACTGGAGCTGCTGCAGAGCCAACCTGCCCCGAGGATGCAGCCGTGGCGGAGAAAGGGGTCAGGGCTCACGTGGCTCCGGAATGGTAACGATGCAGCAAACGAGCAGAACGGATCTGAGAGCGATGCCAAAACCCAGTGGGCACAGCAGGGACTCCCAGCTGCCCGGCAGAGCTGGGAGCACAGAGCTGCTGTTTCAAAGCCTGCAAAACCCAAAGCCATTTCCTTGCACAACAGCCTCAGCTGTAGAAAAGGGGAGCTGAGACGCTGGGAGATGCAGGGAGGAGACAGCCAGCAGCCTGCAGCACTTCCATCACACCCTCACCCCGAGATGCTGCCCTGTCCCATGGAGGGGCTGAGCTGGTGCCTATGCCTGGAGTAAATCCTCGAGAGCCACTCACCCTGCTGATGGCTGCACTGGCTTTGCACAGGAAGCAAGGGCAGATTGTCTCTTAAATACATCCATGCCCTGGGCACAGCAAGAGCTGCATCCCCAGCACTGAGCTGGGGGTGTCAGTGTGCCCCTGGCACCGTGCAGTGTCCCGGTGGAAGGACAAGGGAACAACCTGCATTGCCCATCTGCCCAGCACGTGTGTGCTCCAGCTGGAGGGCTGGCCTCAGCCCCACACTGGCTCACCTGAGCCAGCCTGGACCTCACCAGCTCTCTCCCAGGAACTTCTCCCAACCCCTTGTGAGGAAAGCACATTCCCCAGCGCCCCAGAGAGAGGAGTCAGTGATGGGTTTCCTCCTGGCATCAGCACGGGTAGGTGCCAGCTGCCCAGCAGCTCCTGGGATTAGCTCTGAAGATGATTCCCATTCCCAACAAATGGCCAGCACTGCCTGGGTGTGTTTACCCGAGCTGTTGGCTGAACAGGCGCTCGGTGTTTGCCAGCCAGGCCCGTGCGGTGCCTCCCCCGGCACGATCGGCGCTGCTGCCAGCGCGGCCATCTGTGCCGCGTGGGCTCTCCCTGTTCCAGTGCCCGCGGGGCAGGGAGCACTGTGCCACCAACCCTGTGCCTGACCCACCGGAGGGCACACCTCAGGACCTCCCACCCCTTCTTAGCACACTCCAAACTGGCATCTTTGCTCGTGTCCCGTGCAGAGCACCCAAGATCGCAGAAGAGGGAGAGCTGCCAGTGAGACAGGACAGTCCCTGGAGCAGCACCCCAGGCTGCCCTGCATCCCGGGATGGGACAGGACCTGCCTGCAGAGCAAAGGGGCATTCAGAGACCTCTACACAGAATCAGCTCCATATCTCACACTGGCAAGCGCCCATGGCTCTGGGTCAGTGTGAGGAGGAGGTCAAACTCTCTTGCTGCTAAGCTCAGAACCCCGAGGAGCACCCAGGAACTGCACAGTGGCCTCACTGGGGTGGCTGCTGTCATCAAAGCCTCCCTCGAGCCAAGGCAGAGTAAGCACCCGAGTGCTCAGGGCAGCAATTGGTGGCTGAACTCCAAGAGGGGAATCTTTCCAGGGCTCCTGCTCCTAAGGGGCACAGCTGCAGCCCCTCACCACCCCCAGACAGCACGAAGCACGGCGCTGGGCACTCACCGAGGTGGCAGCGGATGCGGATGTTGGTGGGTCCGTAGTGCTCGGCGATGACGGTGCCCGGGCTGAGCACGGAGATGCACGCGTTCCCAAAGACATTGTTGCCAATGCAGGTGCGGAGGCTCCCGAGCAATCTGTACGTCCGTGGGCATCTCCGGCAGTTCCTGGGCACACACATGCCCTGGTTCACCAGGTAGAAGGTGAACCACTCGCCGCTGGGTGTGCTGTTCATTTTCCATCCTTGCGGGAGGCTGCAGTTTGAGAACGCCTTGTAGAGGGTCTCAAACTCGCACAGGATGGTCTGGAAGTTGCGCTCCAGCAACTCCACGTCGTGCTTTTGAGCGTCCCGGGAGAAATAGGGTGTGGTGGGCAAGTCGGGCAAGAAGAAGACTTCTGGTTTCTGGATGGAGGGCCGGCTGTTGAGGTAGCGTCCCTGCTCGCGGATGCCCTTGTGGATCCTGCCCATGCCGGACCAGGAGTAGCGCTTGGCATACTCCTGCAGGTTGTGGTAGAGTTTCTGGTTGAGCCCGTCGTTGTGCGTGCAGCGCACGCACTCGGGCGAGTGGCAGTACACGTAGCCGTTCTGCACACCGTTGGCCTCCGCGCTCTGCATCAGCGCGTTGACCGTGGTGTAGGCGCGGGGCTGCTCCCGCCCCACGTGGTAGCAGTACCAGACAAAGAGGACCAGGAGGCAGGCGACGGCAGCCAGAGCGGAGGCGTCGCAGTCCCGGAAGGATTGGAT